CCATAAATAGTAACTGACGTCTAGCCCAAGCTGTGCGACATTTAATGGATAAACACACATTAGTGCTATTTTTGATGTAATTGTCTTTGCAGTATGAAGTGACTCTGTGCTGCTTGTTTACTAGTTGCAAAACGTACAACTGTTTTACACTCAGTACTTGGCATTTGTCATACAACGATGTAGTAGGAAATCTATACGGACTAAAAGTCATCACTTTAAGTAGGAGTCTTTGTGCTCTTTCTAAAGTCAATAAATGAGTCTTAAAGGCACCACCCCAGACTCCAACACAGTAACTCATCACCGACTGCGCAAGGGCGTAGTATATCGTACGCAGTAGCTCAAGATTAGCCACATATCTCAGTTTTTTGAAAACGTATATTAGTTTTCTACAGCGTGAAGTCGTGAGGTCTATGTGTGCACGCCAACTGAGTCTGTCGTCAAGCATCACTCCTAAATATTTTACATTGGTAGACTTGGCAACAGTAAGACAGGAACAGTCAGAATTGCGAGGAGAATAACATGAGTGGAGTTTGATTTCAATATTTTCCTGTTTATTGTTCGGCAGGGTAAATTGAACAAGAGTAGATTTAGAAAGATTTACAATCAGAATGTTTTCTCGCAGCCAGCAGCTTATTTTATGTAAACCGCGTTCAGCAGTATCGCTGACCTCTTCCCAGGTTGCTCCAGTGAAAACCAAGGCTGTGTCAGCGGCATAAGTAAATATTTTGCCATTTTGTAACGATATTTGACACAAGTCATTTATATACATATATTAAGAAGAGACTTGGTCCGAGGGTGCTTCCTTGCGGGACTCCATAGAGAACCGGACATTCTGCACTCACTATCTCTCCAACTTTAACTTGTTGAGTACGATGGCATACGAAGTCCTCCATTATTTTGAGGGCATTACCTCGGACACCGGCACGATTTAGCTTATTCACAAGTACGGGAATCGAGACAGTATCGAAAGCTTTTGCTAGGTCGAGAAAAATTTCTATGCATTTCTGTTTAGCGTCACTTTCTGAGGTTGCATATCTACTAGTTGGCTAACCGCATCTTCGGCGCTTATATTAGTCCTAAATCCATGTTGCGATTTTGATAATATCTTATTATGTTCCAAAAAGTTCACGAGGCGGTTGTTAAGTGCCTTTTCAAGTACCTTAGAAAGTGAGCTGAGTATCAATATCGGCCTATAATTGGAGAAACTGTCTCGAGGTCCACACTTGTGGATTGGGGTGATGAGCGACTTCTTATAAGCCTGTGGGAAAACTCCCTGGGATAGGCAAAGTTCAATAATTTTGGTAAGGGTCCCCCCTTACTTACTATTATATCTTTTGAAAGTTTTAAAAATTTAACAGGTATGTAGTCCCACCCAACGGCGCAGTTATTTTTAAGGTTAATTATTATTGATTCAACCTCGGCTTGGTCTGGTAGTAGTAGCACCATTGAATTTACTACTGGAGGTATATCTAAACTGTATTCACTTTTGTTATTACAATTTGAAGAAATTATCATATCAGCTAGCTCCATACCTATATTAGAAAAACATCTGTTAATATCCTGAATATTTTTACCATTATCTGAACGTAATAAATCATTTGCAGAGGTTTTCGATTTCGAGATATAAAGTATCGATTTGATTGCATTCCAAGTGTCCTTATTTGAGTTCGACGAAGGTAATAAAGATTTTTCATAGTTTCTCTTTAGCTTTCGCTACAAGAAATTGCAAAAGTTACAGTATCGCCTATAAGTAATTTGAAGGATTTAATTATTTGGGTCTTTTTTTAAATTTCTATGTAGCCTATCCCTATGACGGATGCAGCGAAGTAGATCAGACGTTAACCATGGTTTCAAAATGTTCCTCCTGTTAGGTACTTTGTATGACTTGGTATTAGACATTATTGCAAACGATAGTTTTTCAACAAAAAGTGAAGCGTTTACGTTGGCGTCAGAGGTAGGCGTTATAAAAGAAAAGTCAACCGATTGGAGGTATCTAACAGCCTCATTGAAATCAGTTTTTTTGACATAGTTTACTAAACCTTGTTTAAATTTGGTCAAAGGAAGATTTAGCAACACTAGAGCGTGGTCCGTTACCGTAGAGTCAATTACAAATACGGATGCAGGGAAAGCCGTCTTTAACATCACATGATCCAAACAGTTTAGCAACCCGGTAGAATATTGGTGACCCGGTAAAATTCCTAGTTCAGCAGATAGGTCCAAGTAAGCAACACTAGGTCTGTCCTTGTTGTTTGGTTTAATGTCAATGTTAATATAACCTGTTAATGTAATATTTTTTCTGAAGTGTAAAGGACGTATAATGCTGTCTATTGTGTTTAGAAACGTGTCTGTGTTTAGTATAGACGGCGATCTATAAATAGCCAGAATGTGAGTATCTGGTTCAAGTTTTAATAATAAGTAACTAGCTCCTATCGGTTCTGGCTCCGTAACTGAACACTTAATGTGTTTTTTAACGTATATAACGATACCGTCACTTTGATTAAGATGCTTACTATTAGAAAATGCAATATAATTGTATAGTTGGGGTATAGGTTTGTGGTCTGTCAAAATTATAACGTCAATATAAATTGTGAATGTAGCCAATTGCGCTAATAAGCTATCAAAGTTTTTATGAATACTTCGAATATTTTGGGTGAGTATATTAAACGAATCAACAATGTTTAGCAAAAGTGAGTTGCACATCGTGGTATCACAATAATAGGTTGACGCCACAGAAATATTATCTAGTTCCAGTGCATTGTTATGATTTATGATACGTAGCTCTTGTCTTTTGAGGTTAAGAAATTTTCGGGATAGACTGGCGTTGAGCGTAATAAGTGTAGGTCTCTTCCGATGCACTCCATTCCTACTGAACTTGTGCTTCCAGTGCCCCTCAAATTTTGCAATTTATTGCTCTGCCTAGCACAGCAAACCACACACACTTCAGACCACTTTCACAAGGAGCTCTATAAATTTCTTTGAGTGTCTATGAGTATACATATCAGAACAACGGTCGGGAACATTACTCAGAACACTCATCTTTTTTAACCTATTTGTACGGTCCACTGCTGAGTAGAGTCTCCTATGTGAACTGTTTCAACTGTTGTGGTGAACTAATTCAGGTGAATTAAGTTAACGCACCAAAAAGTGGTGGTAAATGCTGTTAAAAATTAAAAATATTATTTTTAATCGGTTATTTCTGAAAAGGGTCAAGGTCAAAAGGAAATAGACATTAAATAGGCGCGCATGCTCTATCATCGACCTCATCGTCGACTTTCCATTAGGTTTTGAAAATTTTTTTTTGATATCATGTGAGATGACATGAAGGTCAAATGTGCACTAATTCATAGAATAAAAAAAAGAAAAATGGGTTTCCGATCATTATTAGCCAGCTAAAAAAAAATAAGTCAATTGATAGTAGTTCGTTTACAGTAATCCTCTTTAATTGTTTAAATAACAGAAAAATATTATCATAATCTAATTGATGCACTGCGCCGCTAAGGTGAATAAGTTATCAACGTTATTCAATAGAATAAAGATTGTTCGTTATTAAATTTATTCGAAACGCGTGACTTAAGATTAGTATATATATTTAAGCAAGTCAACCAGACCAAGTTAGACTGGCTATTTTAGATAAACAACCATACCCGGAGAGGAGTAATAATTAACAATTATATTATAGTACAAGGGATTTTATTTCGGGAGCTAGGACTATAAGCCTAATATAGAACAACTTCGTACGTATTTCTGTGTCTTTTGTAATAAAGTTAGTATTATTATTATTATTAATAATAAAGATTTATATGGGATGATATGGAGAAATACATGTTTGCCTTCGTGTATTCATGTCTAAGTACTTGCAAACTTGTAGGTGACTTCTCAGTTACATGATTGTCACAAGTTCATACGAAACAAAAATCTATGTCTTTTCAGAAACCGTTGTGGCATTTCTTTTGTTTAATTATAACCTGCCCAGTGGCATTCATTACCAAATACACATATATATGAATAAACATGTGAATTATTTTTCTGTTAATTTGTTATGTTGGAGAAGTGATTGATTTCAAATAAAGTGTTAAAACATAAAAAATAAAAATAATTTATTGAAGACAATTTACAGTTCATTTTGTCATAAATTATTTACTAGTATATAGCATAGCATATAGAATTGAATTTCTTTGCTAATTTTAATTAAAATATTAATAAAAATGTGATTTAAGTTCACGGTTATAAATTGGACCACTCTTCCCGGGTTTCGTAATTTGTTATTACGAAATAAATCCTAGAGAGCAGAATCTTCCACAGTGTCTCTTTACTACAGTAGTATGTTTTTTCAGCAAACATAGGTTTATACATACATACATAGATTTGAAAAGGGTGGAATAAATGACGAATTAAATTTTGGTTCTTCTATTTAAAAATAATGTAACAACATTATTTTACAGATTAGTTATTTATTTTGCTTGTTTTGTATTACATATTTACTGTTAATAGGATTCGCAGTACATTTTTAATTTTTAATGTAATAAAATAATATGTAGAGTCAATAATCTGCTCTAGGACGAACATACCAAATTCGTGCTATTTTATTGTAATAGTCTCGGCAGAATAAATGTCTTATAAACATTTTAGCAGCGACAGCTGTAGATATATGTATAAAAAACAGTTTAAGCAAAGTATAAGCAAAGTGGTTTAAGAGAGAGTCGGTAAATGGCCGACATCTCAGTCGCTATCTTAATCGTCCAGCGTTTAAGCATCTTTACGTAGCAATAAGTTATCAGCAGCCTAATTACGGCCGCGAAACCACCTGTCCGCTATCATCTGTACATAGGCCTTCGCATATACTTCCGTGCGTCTTACGCGCGGGCCCTCCCCCGTGGCGCTATTGGTTGGCGAGGGCCGTGCGCGCGCAACGGCCCTCCTTGCGGCTGGTGTGAGATGCTGCGACTTCGGAGGAGCCGGTCGCGATGCTGCTCGCGGACAGTGCTCTCGCGACCACGCAGTCATACCGCCGCCGCCACGCGCACTCTCCACCACTCACGATACGAACGTGCGATACGAAACTTAGACATCCAATGTTCTGTATTTCTTCAATAAATTTTACAAAAGTAATCAAAAGAGTTGTAACTCATGTCAAAAGTTAGATCTTAGTTAGTTCTAGGTTTTTATTTCAAATTAATGTTCGGAATACAAACTTGAAAGTTGAGTAAAAGTTAGTGCTATATAGGTAGAGGTACTTGTATTAAAGATTGATTATTTGGTGATGTGAGATGGGTGAGGGCCGCGAACTTCGAGGGTGCTGGTGGAAGGGAACAACACTGGTTCTAGTGCGATGCGCGTGGGCATGCGCGCTGTTCGCCGCCGCGGCTGGTGCGCACCCCGACGTCGACACTTCCACAGGACTTGGTGAAAACACGCTTACCAATTCAGGTACGAAGCAGAACCATAAATTAAATCCATTAAGTTACTAAGTCACCTGATTATATCTCCATTAGTAAAGATAAAAAATAAGTATCTAAATAACTGCAGAAAACAAAAAAATCTACTTTTAACATGATTTATAATTTTGAACAAATTTTATATAGAAATGTAATTTTCTGTTTAGAAAAGTTAACTTGAATAAAATTTATTGGACGTTAACTTAAACTGCTTAATCTATAAATAAATTAGCGAACGTATAGTCTACTTGCATGAAAGTTTTTTTAAAAAAATAAGACCCATGTTCTTAAATATGCAGGAATTTGGACAGGACAATTTATAGTAACCCATAATTAAATGATTTGTTTATAATTCATTTTGGAAATGATTATCATAATCTATAAAATGACAAAAGTAACTTTTGAGAACTTAAAATATACTTAATATTATAGTCGAAATCCTTTTCTTGAAATTTAATTTTCTTTTTTTTTCCTTTCTATATAATTATTTTAGAGAACAACCGTGCGACGGCAATGTCACGTTGATATTATATATAAAAACAACATAAGCATTAGGGTTTAAATGAAAAAAACTTACTTAATCGATGATTACGTTAATAATTTTTTCAAGAATTAAATTTTGTAATATCGAACAATAACCATACTTTAATATTTATAGGTAATTAATTACTCAAGAATATTCTATTAGACTTTATTGAGTTTCGGAACAGTGTAAATGTACAAAGTAATTAAACCAGGAAGGATTTTAATTAAAACATTCCACATAGCGTCGGAAAAGCCAGCGGAATTATCTTTCCATTATTTTATTTAAGACAGAGTGGGCGGTGACCAAATAGAACAACACCTACCTACTTATGTGCGTAATCAAAGAAACAAAATCCGTCGGTTATTGTCCAAAAAATGTATAAACCTTATAAAGGTTTCAGGATAATTTTGGTATGTAGAGATATTGTGGATGGTTATATCACCACTGATTTCATATCGTTAGTGACTGTGTATTCGTTATAACCAGGTGCTGAAACTATATAATATAGTTAGGTATTGTAATATTTATATTACTACTTTGATCATCACAAATATTTATCTATTTTTATCAATGGAATTGACGATTATACTTTATGAGTTAATAGTTGTAAGATAAAACGATAAGTTTTGGTTAATTTAAAATAAATTTGATGATTTAAAATATATCACGAAAACCATCACATTAAAACCATCTCTGCTCATGAAAGATGTTTTGAGTATCATATGTATCACAGTCATGTACGTGAATGTCTTAAGCACTTATAATTTAAAGTCTAATTATGTTTATGTTTCAATGTCGATACACTATGAGACCAGGTCAAAATATTCTTGACACGCATAAATATTACGATTAATAAGATATAAACGTAGTGGATAGCAAATTGGCACTCATAGATTAAGCGTTTGATTGTATTAAGTATACTGAAAACATTTCACTTAGAATTTACTAGTTTCATCTCGTTGTGCGTAACATTAATATGCGTATATGTTGGATACTCGGTTGGAAATATCAACAATACAATAAAAAACAAATTGCTAGACCAAGTTGGATGTTAGACCAAGTGAATGTATGAGTTGGACTTCATGTCTTTGAAGGGTAGTTTTATGAATCTGACGTATGATACTGGAACGGAAGATTCACCTTTTTCTTTCATCTTTATTATGTTCTTACCTGGATCCACATTATTTTTAGATAAGCATTTCTACCACACCTAATACAATTGCATTACAATGCATTGAGATAAAAATAAAATCATCTGATAATCATACAAAACTTAGCATATTAGCTATGTAGTTTGACAAAACATTTTTTTCCGGAATAGTTTTTGTTGATATCATAATATGATATCATATGGTGTTAAGCGACACGTCTGTCTATAACGGTTGCAGTGCCATTTAGAGACTTAAATCACAAAGATTTGAGGGACACTGCCACTGCGCCCGTCACCCTATGACATAAGTTGACAAGGCCCAAGGCACAAATGCCTGTAATTTCACCTGTACCTTTATTCTTCAACATCAGAAAGCATTAATGCTCACATTACCGCTTGACGCCACAAATAAATAATGTGGCAGTACTTTCCTGGACGAACTAATTCACAAGGAGTTTTTGTAATTACGCATATTATATTTTAAATTGATTTGCAAAAACCAAGAAATACTGCTTACTCAGTAAATCGAATACTCAGTATACGCAGAAGCACTTTAAGTACTTATAGTGATAAAACAGAGCTTCCATTATAGTTTCACATTTCGTTGCATTTTTACGAAATTCCAAAATTGTGTAAATCATACAAAGCAGTTTCAATTAATCGTCATCCGGATTTGTATTAAATTTTCCAACGTGATAACCCAATTAAAGAGAATAATTACGCTACTACATGTTCGTCTCGGATATTTTTAATGAATGACATTCCAATCACTTTACAAATTATTTTGTGTCAATTTGCATATATTAACGACTTATTTGTTAAAATACTTGTCGTCGTAATACATTTCATGTCCTTTCGTTGCATATTCAAGATTTCGTTAAAATTTTGTTGCACCGCACATCTATTTTTATATTATCAGTATATTATTATCTATTGTTTTGCCGTGAAAAATTTTTTGAGAATGTAAAATAGTAGGAGAAACTAGTTTTCGTCTGTGAATTACAAATGACAGTCTAGAATAGCAAACGCATACTAGGTGGACTTGCAATATGCATGAGTAAAGTAACAACTTGAAATTGCAGTAGGAGTTGAAACTGCTTCAATGCAATTACTATTCAAAAGATTGTCCTTTCATCGAAGTTTCCCGGTTGGAACCCATAATTGGGACCGCGAGAACAGCAACGAATTAATCAAAATTTCACCTTCGGCCTAATATGAGACGTGATTTCTAGCTGAACAATGGGGGTGGAGGCGCACTAGAATCGAAGTTCCTAAAGTTGAATCAGTTCGTACATTCGGAGTTCCATTGTTACGGAACCGAGTAATGAAAGCGTGGGCTGATAATAATTTACGAACAGCAGAAGTGTCGCTGTTTAATGGCGAAAATAGGGGTCCGAGGAGCATTCCACTGGCGGGCGGCGGGTGCTGGGTGGCGCTCGACTGACGGCCGCTAGCCGCGTCGACAGCAAACTAAAATAATTATCATCATTGTCCTCGGCCACGGCGCGCGCTTTAATTGTTCATTTACATTTGCAACGATGATACCAGTTCCGAACTATTTCGCCCGGCGTTTATTTTACTCTCACCCGTCCCACTCCGGTGTTATTGTCCAGGGTTAATGGTCTGAAAAATAGAAATGAATTGCAATTTGTATGATGTTATTACTCGTGAATGCTCTGAGTTATATGTAGTTATAGATCTGTTTGGCCATGTCAAGCCATTTATCAAAATGAGTCTCATAGTAGTGATGCGGGAGATCGGTCTAATTTGTTGTATTGTCTGTGGTTCACGTCGATTATTGGAACAGTGTTCAAAGTAAAATGAGGCAAGAGAGCGAGGGGATCGTGTGTATCTTGAATTTTAACAAAACCGGTAATAAGAAGTAGAATTGTAAACTCTATAAATAAAGTAAGTAGTCTATTATAAAAGATCGTCGTGCAGAAAATAAAGCAATAATATGCCCTTGTCGGGTATAGGCACGTAGCGTCGTCGAGTACATTTCACGCATTGTAAATGTGTCTCATAGTAGGTCGTAGGGGCGCGGTGGTATTACAAAATGAAATTACAAAAGACGCTCGCGGAGTCCTCCCACGGCATTAATTTGTATCAAGAATTTGTAGAGATTTAGCTTGAGCCGGGACGGAGTGTTCATCGCAGCCGGCGAGCGTTAACACTTATTAAGGGGGTGCATCCCTGCGACAGATGTAGGGGAGGACCCGCCATTTGCGTAATGTCAGGAATGGTTACACTCGATTTAATAAAACTCTGACAACATTTCATTCTGAAGAATTTAAGAGTCAATTCGTTTTAAACGCCACAGTAGAATGGCAAGAAAAAACCGTGCGCCGAAACGTGCCTGGAATACATTGCCAAGGCTTGGATTTCTTATCGGCGGCAATTGAGATGAGTACTTATGGCTTTTCGAGTGGCTCGGCTTCGTTTAATTTGTTGTTTCAGCGTGGAATTTTTATTAACGTCTCCCCTCACTTTGCATTTTAGGGCGCTGAGTCGTTATTGGCAAGTCAAGGTGAAGCGAAACTTTTATTTTGTCGTATTTCTTTTCTTCTCGATATTCAAAACGAGCACAATACGCCCGTGTTACGCATCTAGGACCATGTAAAACAATAAAGTTTTTCACGGTCAGTATTACTATCTTTATACGTTAGCAATTCCAAGGGGTTCAGTTCTGTAGCTTCAGGCCAGAAGGTCTAGTATTAAATAAATATAAATAACTTAGACAAAATTATATACGTTGCTCTGATCACAAAGTAAGTAACTAAAGCACTTGTGTTATGGATATCGGAAACAACGCTTTTACCACAAAGATCCGGTCCGAAACGATATAGAATAGTTAGTTTTCAACATTGACCGGTCGTGAATCGAACCCGAGATGGCGCCTCAGAGATGGCGATACCATGAAAACTTGCACGCCGGCAAGCCACTCGACCACGGAGGTTGTCATTTAGATATTAAATAGTATGCGTCAACGCTAAGGTATTTGTTATTGGAGTATAATTAATAAATAAATTGAGAAACTATGTATACTACTGTATATGCTAAGTTTTGTGTGATTATCCGATGCTTTTGTTTAGTCTGAATGCATTATCGTCAAATTCTACTGGTGTGGTAGAAATACTTATCATAGAATAATATGGTTCGAGGTAAGAACATAATGACGATGAAGGAAAAAGGTTATTCTTCCATTAAAGTATCATAACGTAAGATCACAGATATATCGCACTGCATTAAAATAGTGTTGTAACTCAAAATATGTGAAATTTAGTATTATATCATTATTGAACGTAAAATTTGATTC